TAAAATCTGTCACTGCCTCCATATCTTCCCCTTCTAATTCCCAGGACGTGATGGGACCAGTGGCCATGATCTTAGTTGTTTTGACTTTGAGCTTCAGACCGTTTTTTGCACTCTCCTCTTTCACTCTCATTACAAGGTTCCTTAGTTCCTCCTCACTCTCTGCCATCAGAGTGGTATCATCTGCATATCTAAGGTTATTGATATTTCTTCCAGCAATCTTAATTCCAGTTTGGGATTCCTCCAGTCCAGCCTTTTTCATGTTGTATTCTGCATATAAATTGCTGCCTTGTCGTGGCGAAGGGGCTTTGAGTAACTCAGAGAAGCTATGGGCTCTGCCGTGCAGGAACACCCAAGATGGACGGGTCATAGTGGAGAGTTCCGACTAAACGGAGTAGGAAATGGCGAGCCACTCCAGTATCTTTGCCAAGAATGCCCCATGATCAGAAACAAAAGGCTAAAAGTTAAACATTAGAATCAATGAATTACTGAGACCTTGGTGCACATCATTTTAGAACGTAGCTTATATACGATCCAACATATTCGATATCTTGATTCAATCATGAGTAAATGTCCTGGATCTACCTCCCACAGGCTATCTGAAGTTTCTGTTGTCCGGAAAGAATCAAATAATAACACAGTTAGTGGCTAAGTTTTTTATTTTCAGCTATGAGAATTTGCAAAACGATATAGCAAGATTTTATACCATACTATATGCATCTTTGTATAATTGGGTCTATGCCCACATAATAAAACTTACTTTAGGAACAATTAAACTAGACACTCATTAAAATATAATTGAATAATTAAAAGCAAGCAAGTAAGCATCGTCTTCACTTTAAAAAGACACAGCCAACGGCTTTGGGCTGCTCTTATTTTACAGCTTAGTGGCAGAACCTCTGTTTGCCTGGGTTAGCAGCAACCTCAGAGCCCTACCACCGTGTAAATTATCTTTCCTCCTGCCCTTTTCCCGGAGGACCTAGCAAGAGAGATTTCTCGCACTCGGGTCTAAATACCTGCCAGTTGAATGATGGGCCTGCCTCTAGGTGGGGTTCGGGACACTACTAAGTGTCCCACGATGATACTGCAGTTTACGGGCAGCTTATAATTCAGGAAAACCCACTTGTTTCAAAAATTAGTCTACAGGCAGGACTTAATTCAGTAACATGCGCCAGTTTATTTCC